TTCAAGTAAAATAACGGATATAAAAAGTAAAACAAACAATGTCACAAAAAAATAACAAAAACTGAAAAAATATTTACACAAATGTATGATGAATATGAGGGTCACTTCTTCGTTTAATCATATAATAAATTCTATTGTATACCTATATATATCTGTTTTAATCATAATTTATTTTTGCGGCCTATTATATACTTCAACAGCAACAAAAAACTGATCGATACTGTTTTGTTATAAGTATAAAAATGAACAAATTTTTAATGAACACACTCTTAACTTTTATTAATTTTATATTAATTGCAGTTAATTCATATAAACGATAAAATATATTTTTACTACTTTGTTTTTTTTTAATTTTAGAAAATATTTTGCGATAAAATTCTCAAAATCTTGTGATCAAAAATTGGATCACAATTCACCGGTTGAAGACCACTATTTTATGTATGATAAAACTATATAGATATTAATTATCAATATCTTATCCTATTGTGAATTGTCATCAATATCTTAGCAGTATAAATAAAAAAGTGCTATAATATCTTATATTATATTAATTGATTTTTACTAATATTTAATTTATTTTCATTTAAATGTAAAATGTAGTTTAATAAATTTTTTAATGTTCAGCATACATTTGTATTAATAGATGTATTAGATTCTATTTTACTAATAATTTTAATAGTATTCAAGAGCTTTTTGTTTTCTTGATGTTAAAAAAATTGTTATTTAGAATTAATTTAAATATTTTTTTAAAACAAAAAGATATATAGGTACATTTTAAATAATAAGTGTCAAGGCGTAGTCGTAAATATCTGTCTCTGCTATTGTTATTTGTGCATTGTTATAGTTATTTTTTTAACAGAAAAACTGAAGGTTTTGTTTGACAAATCGATATTCAAATACAACGCATACATAACACGTATTTTTCTTTTGATAAAAAACTACATTCCTTAAAATTCTAACAGTTCAAGTTTTGAGTTTACTTCAATACTATTGATCAAACCTATATATTTAACACGTTTAGCAGGTATAATATTATATAAATCTATATAACTATATAATTTTTTAATATATATAAAGGTTTATTAGGTATATATGTTTACTAATAATAATTCAAACACTACCTATGGCTTGTTCAATTTAAATATTCAAAAATAAAAATTTTAAGCTACCATATCTCTTTAATATTATATTTATATAGCCCTCCCGATAGGAACGTAATATATTATATCACAAAAGTATACCGCTTATTGCTTACATCGTATGTTATTATAATAGTTATTTTCATAATAAATTAATAACCTACAGTGACTAAACCACAAAAGTAAATATAGATATTTATCTAATAATTCTAATTTATACTCATAAACTATTATTCAACAGTATTATTTTATTTTAAAGTAATACAAAATATGTATTATATTTTTATTTTTCTTATGTTATTGTTATGAAATTAATAAAATAATATATATTAATTTTCAGTTTTTAACACATCAAACTATATTTATTTTGTGCAATTATATAACTATGAGTTAACTATTTATGTGCATTTGTATATATTTTAATTTTAATTTAATTTTTGTTATCAAACCATATATATTAAATTAAAATGTTTATGTAATATATGTACTCAGTTAATAAAGTTAAGTAAAAAAAAAACTAAAATACATTATTCATTTTTTTTTTTTACTTACAACCAAACACGCAATATTTTTATTTGAATAGTTTCATATTTATAATAATATTAATGTATGAAAACTGTGTTTTTTATGTTAACTATATAGTCATAAATCTATTAAAATATAAAAATATTATAGTCTATAGGCATAAAACACAAGAAATAATCGTAATTCATCATTATAATATTTTCGATAATAACCTTTAATATATTTATTTTGGAAATATTCAAAAGATTAAATTTATGAATATATTATAAACGATAAAATATCTATTTAATAAAAAAATTTTATACTATATAATTATATAACATATCAAAATAAAATTAATAATTTAATGATAGAACCTATTATATTATGAAATCATAAAAGAAAATGTAAAGAATGTTTTTGCAACAGACAATTAATAATAAAATTATAGGCTAAAGACGATTTTTAAACCTCTCTTAATATTAATAATAACATATTGGTATAAGTATATATATATATATATATCAGTTAAAAGGAATAAAAAGTAATTATTTACATAGAAAATAAATTCATAATCTACATATTGAACATTTTTTTTCTCGTTTGTTGATTTAGGATATTAAGATTTAAGATAAATATATTGTATACGTAAACATAATAAATTTATAAGTTATTAAATGCAAAAGCATGAATAATTAATTCAGCGAAATTAAACGTAAATGTGTTTATAAATCATAATATATAGTTTGCAAACACGCAAATAAAATTTATAGGATATATTTTTAAAGGTTGTAAAAATAAAAGTATTCACAAGCAAATTTTCAACTGAAACGTCAAACCTTAACGTTATCATAGTATCTAATTACTTAATTTTAGTTAAAACCACTTTTGATTTAAATAGTTTTATGCCTTCTCTTAGTTTTAATCATTATACTGAAAACGTAATATTTTTTTTTTTTTTATAAATTAATGAACATTTATTTTTTAATAGATATTTTAACAAACTAAAAATATAATCTAGATCTAAATGACTATATATACACATTTTACAGTCAAAAACATTATCTAGTTTTATAGATATTACTTTTGCAAAATAAAGATATAATCTACGTATAACTCAAAATTACTTGAAATTAGAGTGCAATTTTTCATATATATTTTGTAAATAAAGCACAATATGTAATCCCGAATGATGAAAAACTTAACTTTTTGATTCAAAATTTTAATTAAAGATGTTATACATATATTATATAAACTAATATATTTTTTCCTTTAGTAACAATGCAACTCTCATTCAAATACTTTCTAAAACTTACTCTTTATCATAATAATACATAAACATGAGTATTGGTCTACATTTTCACTATACTTCTTAACTACATGTTTCCGAAAATTAAAAATAAATTTATAATTAATAGGACCGTTCTTACGAGTCCGTACACCATCAAGCCCGGCAAAATCTTAAGTTTTAAGTTCTTAAAGTACAGTTGTCAGCTACTAAATTTAGATTATTATATTTTTTGAAATATATGCACACTGACACATCGTATAGTGATAGAAAAGTTCACAGTTAAATCTTTTTTAAAGTTGACAAATAATAATACATAATATAAGTATTTTATATTATACCTATATACATTAGCTATATATTGTAATAAATACTCGCGAAATATGCACAATGTCTAAATTTATATATAATAAGTAAGAAGATACACCAATATTTTCTCATATAGCCCGGTCATTTTTTACGATTGAAATCTTGACCCTTAGTAAAATTATACATTATAAACTCATTGAAAAATATATTTAATTATTAAATATAATGAATAAATATTTTTTTTTATTTATTTTAACATAGATTATTCCATTCCTTCATGGAACTTTATGTTTTCCAACTTTGACTTAAAAATAAAAATGTTATCAACATAAATCTGAAATAAGCCTGTATATTTTATATTCGTAAAATAAATAAACAAATTTTGCTGGTCCTTGAAGTTTTTAGCCAAATTTCCGATCTTATACAAATTCAATAGGTAATTGTGTAATAGATTTCATGAATTCGACATAAATAATGTAATTTAATCCTAATTTTTCATTTATAATATTGAGTTTATACGAATTCTGATTATTAATTATACTTAAGCCTTAAGGTCCATATTCGTAATTATTCAGATTTTTATACTATTTATAAAATGTCTTGTCGTGATACAAATACATTTTTTTAATGAAAACCGACCTAAGATTAATATGTCCATACTCTCTTATAACAATACCTATATAAGGTTTGAAAGATAGTTATAGATTTAAAAATTACAGTTATTAATATCAAGTTATTAATATTTTATAATTTGTATATATGCGTATAATAAATATTTAACTACTAATCCTAAACTACATTAAATATTTTATTTTATTTTATGTTATTTTAAAACTATTTTTAAGAAATACTTTTCTTATTCCGTATAACATTTTAATAACTTAGAGATTACTCTTTCAAGTTTTGATTTGAAAAAATGTTCAAAATATGTTCTGAGAAATTTACAATAAAAATGTATTAACTCTCAATGCACTCATTTAAAAATGAAATTTATAGCACTACAAGACATTCCTTAAATGGTATAAAAAAAAATAATGTAGTATTACTTGAAAATATTGTAAATAAGTATAGATATACCCACATAAAATTTCTAAAAATTTAAATAAATTCATTAAATGAAAAAATAATCGGTAAATCACCTGCTATGGGTACTTTATAAATATTTAAGTGCAATATTTTTAATTATTCGATGTACCTACATAAAATCTATATGTATATACTACACACGTCTGTATATATGATTGATAGCATAAACAGTACTTACTGCATGAAAATTATTGAGATTATTGACACTGCAGCTCTGAAAAGGGTTGCAGAAAAAGAATAAGCACAGGTAGGTAGGTACATAAAGATTATAGCTTATATATATGTATATATACTATATACATATAATATAACATATTATACACAAATATATACTTAGATAAGTCTTTCAAGTATTTGCCTTGGGTCTCGCCAATCCTATATTTACATTAAGATTTGAGATAGAAAACGATGAAAAACGAAACCATCTATAATATTTATACATAACGATAATAATAATATAGAAGTTCAATGTAGGAAACATTACCTACGCCTGTATAACATATATATAACGTAAATAACATTTACCTATATACGCACGCATATATTATGCACCTATGTAGGCTATATGATTACAGCAAATTTCCAGACATTTAATAACACGATACACTCACTCACAAACTCACAAACAACAAATGACGTATGCAAGTAAGAGTAAAAAAAATTCAAAAATTTACCTTCATGTTCTTGATGTACGTAGTCGGAAAACCACATAACTCGAAACGGTTTTCTTGAATCATATCTGCGGTTAGGCTGTACGTGTACTCGACGCAAGCAGACGGTATAATAATACGTTCGAAGTATATATATATATACAATATACACCTATGTGTAACACTTGAGGATAAATTCCAAGAAAAACCGCACCGTCGGATGACCGCTGCAGCTGAAAGTGCGCCGCGTCTCTCCGACCCTGCGTTCAAAATCGTTCTCGAAACATTTTTGGAAAGTCACGCCGAAAAATAAGAATTTAGGTGAAGCGGAAAAAACCCACACGCGCCGATAATTTTCGTGAAAAAATTGCGGGGTCGTCTTTATTGTATATCGGGTAAATATTTGTCCCGCGACTGCTGTCACTGCACTATTCCAGTAAGGCGAACACTATTAAAATTTTTTTTATACATACAAAATTCGTATTTTGTAACAATATTATATTACAAATTATATACGTTTACATATATACACGAAGGAGCGCGCACTGCCGCCACCAGTGTGTATGTGGGCCGTTCGCCGCGGAGCGATCCTAACTAACGGGCGGCAGAGATGACCGGCCGGCCGTGTGGCAGACGGCGGGCCATGGATTCTGCGCGGGTATGTGTCCGGTGGGTGGGTCGGAGCGGACGAGAGGCGCCGCCGATTGGTTGGCAGGGCGTGGTCTCGATATACGTCGTCACCACGCCTCGTGTGTTGGTAAAAGATCCGGATCCAATAAAATATATATATATATACAGAGATATACATATAAGTATTATTATAGGTACCTAGCTACTATTACTATTATTATACTCGTACATGGATAAGGTAGGTACTGTACGAATATTTTTTCCTTTCCGTTTCCTCGTATTCTTCCGACCGGACGCAGACGAAAATATTATTATTATTATTATACGTAGGTATTATACATATATATTATTACAACTTGGCCAACAACCGTCTTTTTTTTCGGTCGCTTCGCCGTTTTCATTGTGTCTCCTGCACATCCGACCGTGAACGCCGCGCGTATTATAATATGAAAGTATAAATACAGTAAGGACATAAGGTGTTAAACGACGAGTCATAGATATATAGGTATAGATACTCGAGTAACGCATGATGGATATTATTTTTTGTACAGTAGGTGTATACTATGTAATACCGGGTTGGTATGCGTATGTGTATATGTCACGTATCTATTGTATTTTATTGAACCTGATGTTGGGGAGGAGGAATAAAAAACAAAACGACAGCAAACAAAAAATAAAAAAGCCCCAACGCGCATATGCAGCAGGGACGACCATATATATAAGTGTACGCGGGACAAGATGACGTGTAATGTATTTTATACACATGATGTACCACCCTTCCCCTCGTTGGACGTATATAAGTGATAATAATAGTAATAGTATATTATTGTATTATGTACCTATGTGTGTTTTACGAAGGCAGAGAACAAACAAATACACCAAGAATATATTTTATATAAATATAAGTAACAGCAGCCGTATACATACGTATATGAAGAAACGCGTTACGACCGTTACGGTTTTTGAGTTTATTTGATCATATAAAAAAATATAGAAGTGTACACCAATACATATATATATAGCAATATAGGTACATGCCCATATACAAATATATAATATATAAATACGATGGTATTATAAACAACTCCTGCGGCCAGAGGCGTGTTTAACGAGAGGCAAAAGGAGCATTTTTCCCGGTAGAAAAATTTGAAAATATTTCATAAGCGACATTCTTATACTAATTCTTCATACTTTTTTTAGTTTTTTTGCAATAAACTAAGTTTTTCATCGGTAATTAAAAACGTTATAAATTTAACGTTAAAAGATTTAGGTATATATGAAATATATTTTTAAATATAATAAAACTTATTTACTTATACCTATACGGCTATATGGCTAATAGTCATTGGCTATACATAAATCTTATTCGAAAAATTACAATATTATAATACGCATTAATGCGCAAACGCAGTCTATGAATAAAGACTCGATGAACAAGGATATTGCTGTAAAATACGCTGTCAAAGCTTACGCTTAGGCACGAGTACGGCAATGATGGCACATCGGAAACAGATGGCGTCGTTGGCGAAGGCGATTTTACAACTAAACTCGTAGAAGTACCCGCAACACTTTGTAAAAGACAAGACGTGACAAAACACGATAACACAGTAGAAGCTGGACGTGGAAGCGTCGGTTTAAAACCGTTATATAAAATATCTTGAACGTAATAACATAATGAATTAATAGATAAATATATTGTACAGCAAAGAACAATGTTTTAGTATTAACTATTCTAATTGGTAATGAACATAGAACTAAAATACTTTGTTTAAAAATACTTATTTTTTTATATTAAGTTACCATATTAGTGATATTTTAATTAGTTAAGAGATTATTTATTTTAAACCAAAAAATTTTATATTACCTAATTGCTATATAAAATTATAATGAATAATAATAATCTAACAATCTTTATGGTTTGTAAACATTTTTTACAATTTTTATTACTTTGAAAAAAATTTAATTTCTAGTGCAGCGCCCCCATTTAAGAGACTTACAATTTGCCACTCAAAGCGATTACCTCCTTCCCCCCCCCCCCCTAAATACGCCACTGCTTTCGGTGAACATAGAAATTTGCAATTAAACCCTTAAATATAGTATTTAAATTATTAAATAGTGATGTTAAAAGCTAATAAACAAAAAGTATACATACACACACACATATATAATATATATAATAATAATATAATTGTTTTGTTATTTATACAGTATTCATTTAAAACAACATAATATATCTACTTAAATCGTTAAATGTCATATTTTCGAGCCATTGCTTAATTTAAAAAAAAAAATAAAATCATTTTTCATTGGTTTCTTATTTATATCAAGAGAATAGTATACCATGCCCCCTCTTAACTTAAATGTATCTTAGAGACGCTGACCCTACTACGTCACTATATATACTATTGCAATATAATAAAGGATATTCAAACACAATATTATTTATTATACGTTTAAAAAATGATGAGATGACACGCTTAGATTTCAAAACGTCACAATTTCGTGTAATTTGCCACAGTAGCATAACTACAACTAAACTGCCACAACGACCACACAATTTATCGTGTACAATATTCCATTATATTATACAAACACAGTATTATATTAAATGTAAAATACTGTTTCTAATTATAATAACGCATCGCACTGCACCCACACTTCAGCCATATATAGTCTCATATTGGCACATTATTTAGCTTTAAATACCTAATATACTATATTACTATATACGTATATATAGGTAGATAGCCTCAAGTCTCTACGCGTATACACACAATATTTTATAATACATTTCTCTATCATACAATTATGCAAAACGAATATTTGTTATTCAAATGAATACTTTTAATATTTCATTCGTTATAAATAATGGTATATACTTATGTCATGTACTGCAGAGTATATAATACGAATCGCTTTTTTAAACGCTTAGATAATTAAATTATTGATTTGTGTGATATTTTAACGTGAACGAATAAATTGATAAACAACATGGCTCACCCTATATATAGTATCTGTATAATACATTATAAGCAATAAATAATTCATCAGTATTTATGTGCTGTACTCAAATTTACATAAAAATAATCAAAAAAGCTAACCAATAGCAGATATCTGCATCATAAGTATAAATATATTTTATTTTATTGATCGCTTATTAAATATTATTATTTATATATAATAATATATCATATATTTATAGGTATGTCATCATCGTTTCATTGAAATCGACCACAAACTGAACACTGTATTGATACTTAATTATAATATCTAACATAATAATGATGTTGATTTTTATATCATTGAATAAAATAAATGAAAACTATTGAGAAAAAACTTACTGCGTAATAAATTAATTATCATAAAAGTATATAGCAAATAAATGTTGAAAACATATTAATATATAATATTTTATTTTATCTAGTAAGTTGTAACTTATAAATTGGTACAAAATGTAACAAAGATAAAGTATGATAAACCGATTAAAAAAATACCGATACCTATCTATCTACAAAAAGATACACCTGTGCACGGTCATGCCAAAAATCTTTAAATTTCCATAACACAATGCGTAGGTTCAACATTATATTATTTTATACTTATATACCTAATACCTTCTTTATTGCTCTGTCGCAAAGACCTACCCTACTATACGGATACGAGTAAAATACATAACTATTATTAAGTGTGAAATTAAATCATGTTGTTATTATTATTATTTTTAACACGTTAAACGCATGCCCACGGTGGTTAAACACAAATTGCACAATGTAAATGTTCATTCACACATGTATAAACGTACATAGAATATAAAGTCCCCTTTATCGTTTGGACCGCGAAAATGCAGTGTAGTTTGTGGTGCTCTCGTCATGTTATTGAACAGTGAATAGCTGTTAAATGGGTCGACGAAGCCTCGGGGGAGACCGTGCGCGTGATCGTCTCTTATATTATGTGAATCTCACTGTCATTTATAAAAATAGAGTTTGTTTACAGTCACATATTATTTATTATGGCGATTTGTCGTGTTTCAGATTTGAGCGACAATATGAAATATTACTTATCGCCTTAATTATAACGTATTCATGTACGCACACGTCCAATGTAAATAGTTATGAGATATGAGTGAAACAGTAGTTATTATAAATTTAAAAAATATACTTTATCTACTAACTTAAATGATAGTGTACCTAAATAGTATTAATTATATAATTATAACCTATATTATAATAGTATTATTCTAAAATAATAATGGCATCTAAATAATAATTGCAATAGGGCAATGTGTATAATTATAATACATATTACCTACTCTTAATCTTCACTATTAAAATATATATACCGATTGCGTCTCACATAACAATTTGTACTATAAATATTATATTAAGATATTCAAAATATATTACACGTATTAGAGTATTATATGATAGTAAACTTTCAAAATATAAGCTTAGTATTCTGCAAAAGTAAAATGTTAGGTGTACGTAAGTTATATATGTCATGCTTTTGTCAATATATTTTTGATTTAATATTAATGACATCATATATATTAAATTTTATGACCAAATAATATGTTTTACCATCAGGTATAATTTAAGACATATGTAGATATTTTTTTTTTTTTTTTGAGGAAGGGGGGTGGTCAAATCTATCTAACTAAAAGCACCAATCAATAAAATATGAAACAAAAAAAACTATTATTTTAATTTGAAAGATACTAAATATTTTTGCAGAGCTAAGCTCCGATCTCTTGTTTTGGAGATAGAAAGCTTTAAAAATTTAGTCATTTGTACGACAAATAAAATTATTCTAAAAGTTTTTTGGCTCATTTTATAAATTAATTACTAATATGAATCAAGTTATCACTATTAAGATTACTTCTAATAATATGTATTTATTACCCCCATGTTATTATTAAAAATATATCTAACAGATAATTAACATATT